CAGACTAACCAAGAAACATGTGAATATAAATTAGGATTTAAAGTGCCCGTGGATGCTGGATGTCTAAATAGAAAGATGTTCAACATAACAATTTGATCTTCCATTGTTCGGTGGGACAGATGTGAGTGACAGTCTCTGTTTAACATGTGTGGCTGACGAGTAGAAAGTAAAGTTGAGAGTATTCTCTCCTGCTGTGTTGGTGTTGATTAAAGAAGATGATTTGAAGAGAAACTGTAGCCCACTTAACACCCACAGCTCAGAGACTCTGAATAACACTACAAACAAAGGAATCAGGGTTATGTCAATAGATAAACTTAAAAGTAAAGTAGCCACACATGTTTATATTATTCAGTACTGATCAGAGTCAAGAAGACATGTTAAATTATGAGGCACTATTTAATTTCTTTGCTTTTATTTTTAAAGGTGTGTATTCTGTATGTGTGTGTGTATAGTACTGTACTGTAAGTGGTGATTCGCTTTCAGATTATTGGTAATTTGTGGATCGTTAAGCTGAAATAACTGTTGTAGAAATGAATTACTGTTGAAGTAAAGCAGTGACATAAGCGCTCGTTCTCCGGTGTCTCATTTTCAGTCAGCCTGTGTCTCTCCAGTAGCATTTGTTTGGAGTTGAAGATCTCACGTTGGGTTTTTACAGGGAGGGTTGGTGGCGGCGTGATTTCCCAACAGCTTGACTCGTGGTTCTGACTCATTAGCTTCCTGCACTGCCACAATGAGCCTCATCAATCGTAACCCCCAGCGCAAAAGAGCTACTTTCTCTCTACCTGGCCTTTATGGTTCTCTTTGCTCAGTAACACAACCAGGAAGCTGTGCGGCTTTTCTAGGACGTAAATGCATAAAGGGATATAAATAACTCAGAAAGGAGTTTTTAATATAAATACAGTCAGAGATAGAGTGATGTACAGTGCTCAACAAATGAATCAGACCATGTCCCAGTGTTAGGGTTTTGTCACAGATGTGATAAATTAACAGTGTTGATAATAATCAAAATCATTGTTAAGAAAAAAGCTGAAAAAGAAAATCACATTATTTATTCATTTTTTATTAAGATATCAAATTACATTTCATGCCACCAGAATAGATGCCAATCTTTGAAATCTGAAACCCAAAAATGGAAACAGTGGCATGAAAGCTTATGTCGCTTTTATGATTATATAAAAAGACATAAAAAGCTCCACTGAAAGCTAAAATACCAACATTAAAAAAAGCGTTTAACAACCTTAATAAAGAGATTTGTTTACACTGACTGACCTTTTTTGTTTACAGTGTGTGTGTGTGTGTGTGTGTGGGGGGGGTTCTTCAGTTTCTTTTCGATGCCACTGCTTTTCAATCTAAAAAGGTCTTTTTTACACTTACGCATTTTTCTCTAGAAGCTTCAGATGAAAGGACAGCGGGACTTCCTGTCATTGCCCCAGGCCTTTTCCATTAGAATAATTTTACTGCACCAATGAAAACACTAGGCTACCCCCAGCTTCTGGCTCATAGGGGGAGTGCATCGCAAGGACGTCAGCTAGCTAATGCAACCTAGCTAACATTTCCTCTCTAGCTAGTTAAGAGTGAAGCAAGTGACAAGAGGAAAGGACAAAAAATCTTTACATGCTGTTTAGGAGTTTACGACGCTGTTTAGTTGGATCTGAACTTGAAACATTGTTGTTGAGTTGCTGAGTTAAGATGGCCGCTAGTAGGTAGTACCTGTGAAGCCCCGCCTCTCGGTCTCAACTATTAGCCCTTCCCACTGAAACTGGAAAGCTGCTACATCAAAAAGAAACTGTAAAAATGTCTATCAATCATGCGGTTTTCACCAAAGGGGAAATTAGTTATAGAGACAAGTGTCTTAGTAACAGGCTGCAAACATGGATATTTCTGCTGTTAATTTGTTCCTTTTAACCAAGGAGTCTGTGGGGACTACCTCGCTTGTGGCTCTGGCCTCAAGTAGCCATTTGTGAAACTGCAGTTTTCAGCTCATGTGGTCAGGCTTCATTTTTCAGTGGCTGATGCTCCCGCTTGATTTCCACACATGAAGTCAGCTGAAATCCAACCAGAGATGAGAGCGAGCTGAGGAGGTGAGGAAGAGACACACAAAAATTAGACATCCTTGCCTCGCAGCGTTCATTTTAAAGCAAAGTCAATTAAATATGACGTTTGGCACAGCTGCATCATCTGTCAGTTGTTTTGTTACAGCCGACTGCTGTATGTTATGATTTCAGATGCCAGAAGAGCATAACAGTCCTCATGACAACTTTTATTTTTAGAAGTACTTTAATTAAATTCACAATGAAACTCAGTCTCTCGTTCTCTCTCTCTCACACACACACACACACACACACACACACACACACACACACACACACACACACACACACACACACACACACACACGCACAGCAAAAAGCAGAATCATTTTAAATAACTGAAATAAATTATGAATACACGGAAACATTGTGTACAATGCCTCTTTTATCTATGACGTATAAAAGCACTTCCACGGAGAATACAACTCAAATACAGCTCCTCTATTCTCAATCGACTGTCCTCCAGATCCATTTTATGAATTGAAACATGCTTCAGCATGGTGCAGAGAAATTGCTGTCTGGAGCACAGGCATGAGGATGGGGGGACAGAGGAGCCAAGGAGGTACAAGGCAGAGAAACGACAAAATACTCGATACACACCAGAGAGTGAAGGCCAATAAGGGACAGGTAGACTCAGACGCTAGGGAGGGTGGGAAAAGAACAAAACAGGAAAGTAAAAGCCATGTGAGGAGCCTTCAAAATAAAACAGGAAGTGAAATTGAGACAGTAAAGAGGAGAAAGGAAAGCAAATCAAGGAGAAGAAACGAGGTAATAACTGTCTAACCGATCATGTTCTCTGTAATGCAGAGAACATGATATGAGTAATAATGGTCATATAAGTTCTTATGGAGTGAAAGTGATTTTTTTGTGGTGCTTTACATGTTGATACCATGTAACAGTGACGTGCTAAGTAAGTAAATGTCACTTTCCACTGTAAGAAAAGAGCACAGAATTACTGTATGATCTCACCACTCTGGCAGATTAAGTGAAACACAGTGAAGACAGCAGTCTTTCACATGTGCTGAGCTTGAGTTAACAAGCCCTGCCGCAGCAGCTGTAGGTGTGTGTGTGCATGTGTGTGTGTGTGTGTGTGTGTGTGTGTGCGCGCGCGTGTCATCGGGCTGGGACTCTCTGATGGCTGCCAGCAGGCCCTGCACGGCTCCTACAGGAGGTAATGTAATGACCCTCTGTTGGCATGCCCCTCAACCCGCTTTCAACACACACACACTGACCAACAATCAGAGCCTCATTGCTCCTCCTCTACCCTCCTCCTTCTCACACACACACACACACACACACACACACACACACACACACACACACACACACACACACACACACACACACACACATGTGCTCACACTGTTAAAAAACTGGGTTATCGTCGCAGTTTTTTGCTGCTGCAGGGCATATAGCTTACAAAGCAGAAGAAACAGTTTCAAGGAATCACAGGGCAAACAGTTTCCGAGGCAAACACACGTGCACAAAACACAACCCACAGGAGAGTCCAATAACCAAAACTAAATTAGAGACCTCTTGCAATTTTCTTAGGGTGTGTGTGTGTGTGTGTGTACGTTAAGGGCACAAATGTTAACACAATGATGCACCAGGCACAGTAATTTAAACACTGGCCATACTCACAGGAAAAGGTCATCATTGCATAATAAGGCAAACGTTACTTTTCCTACAACTCTACATCTGATATTTCGAGGCATTTGCTGAATGAATATTGTTACACCCTCTTTTTTTACCCTATGTCCAAAGTGCTTCCATTAAAAGAGCAAACTGCAATAAAATGTCTAAAAAGAAAGAAGGAAAAAACACACACACACGCTGGACGAAAGCCGGGCCCCACAAAGAACACACGTATTACTCATCCCCCACAGAGCCGCCTTGCTTTAGTGTATTGTGGGAGGGCTGGGGTGGGCGGCTGTGCAGGGGATTGGGAGCTGCGGTATAAGACTGCATGACTTCAGCCTGCATGTAATATATCTACATGATGTTTTTTCAGCTTTGCATTGCACTAAGTGGCTTCTGTTTCAGCTAAAATTAAAAAAAGTAAAATGTGCATGTGTGCGTGTGTGTGTGTTCACTTCAAAACTAATCAGGAAAGCCAGTGTGGTGGAACCCAGACATCTTGTTTATCCTGAGATTTACCCGCACTTCACCTTCAGCTCCACACACACACACACACACACACACACACACACACACACACACACACACACACACACACACACACACACACACACACACACACACACACACACAGTTTACACACCACACACACACACACAAGTGAAGGTCTTGTGCTTGTCCCAGGTGCAGAGAAATCTGTGAAGCAGCATGTGGCTTGTCCCAGTTCCTCTACAGTACCTGTGTGCCTTTGTGTGTGTGTGTGTGTGTGTGATTGCGTATTGCGACAAGACTGACCCATTTGAATCTTAATACAGGCGCTCACCATTGCATTCCTGAAACTAGTTCAACATGTAGGCTATAGGCTGCGTGCGACGCTGTCACAGAGCAGCGATGCTGAGGTCAGAGTGAGAAGATCTTCATTTGTTGGAGATTTGGTGACTAAAAAAAGTACACTTTTTTCTTAGAGCTGGAAACTGAATGCAAAAAGATGTTGATGGGTGGAGGCGGAGGGGCTGAGATGGGCTTTGAGGAGATGGAGAAAGCCTCTGCTTCCTGCTTCTCCAGTTTTGACAGCAGGATGAAGTCAGAGATGTGACTCTTGTGAGCTTAAGCTATTTCAAAGCAGCGCACGTCTAATCTGTGTCCTGACCAAAGGAGGTGCGCGCGTGTGTGTCTGAGAGAGAGAGAGAGAGAGAGAGAGAGAGAGAGAGAGGAGGGAGAGAAAGAAGTGAGACACTGAAGCAAACAGAGTGAAGAAGAGAGGGAGAGAGGGGAAGGACTGTTTGTGTGCCTGGGTGCTGAGCAGCAGCAGAGCAGCTTAGATGCGGACCAGAGGTGACCAGGGCTCGGGGTGAAGGTGTGTGCGCGTATGTGTGTGTGCGTGTTTGTGTGTGTGCGCGCGTGTGCACGTGTGAGTTTGTGTTGCGCGCCTGGCAGAGAGACTGCAGGATCGGGAGGAAAAGGGCTCTCAACTTCCCTCTTCCTCTCTGCGCCGCTCTGCCCTGTGTCGCTCCCTGCCTACTGCTCCTCTTTCCCTTTTTTTTACTCCGGGACACAGGCAGCTGCTGCCGCTGGTAGTGGTGCTGCTGCTGCTGGTGCTGGTGGTGGTGAGATGTGAAGAGGCTTGAAGTATGGCATGCAAGGATGGTTTCTGCCAAGAAGAAGGAGATGGTGACAGCGATGCGCCCCGCGTTTACTCGGACCCTCTTCTACTTTTTCTGTTTGCTGACTTGGTGAGTCTCTGTCCGCGGTGCTGAAACCTGCCGCCGAGCTGTGTTTTCAGCCCTCAACTTACAAGTATCCCGATTTTCTTCTTCTTCTTCTTCATAGTATGAAGAAAATCTCTGCGCAGACAAAAAAGGATGAAAGGATCTATCCGGAGAATTTCACTCGCATTTTGGACCGACTTCTGGACGGCTATGACAACAGGCTGCGACCTGGATTCGGAGGTATTTTAGAAAAATGCGCACTATTTTTGCGCACTATTGAGAGTGTTCTGCAATAAAAGTAGTCATATCAGCTATGTAACCACTCGGAAATATCCAGAATCTTCAAACCACCAGGTGAAATTTTATTTCTTCTGTAATTTATGCTACTTTTTAAAAATTTATTTTTAAAAGCCATACCTCGTAGCTCTAACCACATTATCGAGTAATAAAAGCATCCGGTGACATCTTTAAACCACTAAAAAGGGAGCTTCGCTTGTTATTGGACTTTTTAATGTAAGAGAACGTAAAATGTACTCTAAAGATAGCTGCAAACTCACTGCTGAGCAACAAAACACCCCATTAGTGTGGTTTAAATCAAGTCAGTTCCACCCATAGTAATCATACTACACCCCTGAAGCGCTCTAAATGAGCAGAGGGAACAATCCACTTGCTGAGGGAGGCTAAAGATTTCAATTTTGGTGTATTCTATTTATATAGCTCACAGCTGCAGTCATCTCAAGGCACTTGATACTGTAAAGTAAAGCTCCTGCAGGGGTGGAGAGAGAATGTCATTGATCTGTGAACAAGCACTTGGTGATGGTGGGGAGGAAGAACACGTTTCTAAGAAAAAAACATAAAATGACCATCAAATATGCCATAATTTAAAAAAAAGTGCACTTTTATTTGCACAGCCTAACAGTCTACAGCCTGAACCATGAAATAATTGCCAGAAAATTCCAAGTTTTTGAAACTGGTTTTTATTGAAGCTGAGAAATTTTATGTTAAATGGACGGCTACTTGAGCACTCAGAGCACTTTACACAACATGCCTTATTAATCCATTCATACCCATTCATGCCAACACCTTTCTTTTTCTATGGCAAAGTGTTTTCTTTTTAACATCCATACACATTCACACTCTAATGAGGTAATCTAATAATAGGAAGGTTGGTGGTTTGATCCCTGGCTGCTCCGGTCTTCATGGGAAAGATGCTAACCCCAAGTTGCTCTTTGATGGATCCAATAGAGTCTGTCTATGAATGTTAGACAAAAAGCACTTAACCAAAGAAAAAACAGTGCTCGCATGTGCTTGGGTATGAATGGGTGAGGCAAGTTGTATAAAGTGCTCTAAGTGCTCAGGTAGAGTAGAAAAGTGCTATACAAGAACTAGTCCAGTAACCATTTACCAGTTAACACTCAGAGAGCAACTTGAGGTTCAGTTTCTTGCCCATGAAGAAACTGCCCAAGAGTGAAGAAGCCAGGGGTTGACCCACCAACCTTAGTAGACAGCTCAGCCCAGTAATTTGCATCAGATTTGCATCAGACTGCCATTTCTATGCAGCTGTTTTAGGTTTTTTTGGGGGGGAAAAATGACAGGTTTCTAAAACTCATCTGTCAAATATGATGCACTTGGCATTGCAGGGTTAAGACTGTGAAATGAGCATGAACGCCTTAGTGAAACTCTTTAACAGCATGGGGGAAGTAGAAAGCCAACGACATGCATGACATGTTTTCATGGGAACATTATGGCAACATTTTAATGACCTTTTTCTCTACAATGTTTTATGTGATTTGCATACGCAACATACTGCTTTGTGGTTTAGTGTATCACAACACGAGCGCTGCTGAGTTGTGCACAAGCCTGGTAGTTGTGCCCACTGAAGATGGGCCTCTGAGCTGGCACGTTTGAGTGAGTGTGGTTACATAATTGTGTGTATGTCAGCACACAAACGTCCTAATGCACAGTTCAAGTTCTAAAAGTACAGTTCTGGGTTTCTACGGCCATATTTCTCAAAGAGATGCCTCACTGCTGGTTGTAAAGCAGCCTGTCAGCAGAGATGTTCAGACATGCAGGCGTACCAGCTTCGCTTTAAAGTGAACAGAATGGAAACAGCAACAAAGGTGCTACAGCTCTGGAAGAGATAAGTTACTGCAAGGCTTTTAGATTGGCTAAACAAGTATGAATAGGACTCCTGTCTTTTTATGACCGCGACACTGAAGGATTTACACCAGTAAACGGTCATTAAACGTGACACTTGTCTGTTTCATTATCTCAACAGGTCCTGTGACTGAGGTCAAGACTGACATTTATGTGACAAGTTTTGGGCCTGTCTCAGACGTTGAAATGGTACCTATCCTATCTCATGTTTGTTTATGACTTTCTTTTTGTTTATTCTAAATTGAGTGTCAAACTACAGAAGACACAGAGATCAATACTTGAAGATAATGACTATCTTGCTCAACCAAGAGCCACTCAACCAAGCCTGCTTTATGTTTGGATGAAAAACCGAAGCAATTTCTTCCAGCTGGTCTTATTTTTGGTCCTTTTTTCCCAACGTAGGAATACACAATGGACGTATTTTTTCGCCAGATGTGGGTAGACCGGAGGTTGATGTACGAGGGCCCGATAGAGATTCTCAGGCTGAACAACCTGATGGTAACAAAGGTGTGGACACCGGACACCTTCTTCAGGAACGGCAAGAGGTCCGTCGCTCACAACATGACGGCGCCCAACAGGCTGTTCCGCATCATGAAGAACGGCACCATCCTCTACACCATGAGGTACTTATATATTAACTCGAATAATATGCCAATCTACAGATTGCAGCCAGCTCTAATTTTGCATCCATCTAAAAAGCCTGCTTGTGTTAGTTACACTTCATGTATTTGTTTTCTCTTTTTAGTGTTTTTTGCTCATTAAAATGGGATAGAAGGGATGACAGACTTTGTTTGTTATAAAGCAATGAAAGAGATTTCCTGTGAAATCAAAAACCCGCTCTCGCTGTGTACACAGTAGAGAGCTGTGTGGAGGCAGTGCACATGCCAAACTTTCACATTCATTCAGGAGAGCAGTTGATTGTTTGATAGTAATTGGCCTTTTTTATATAAAGATCAGCAGAATCAATGATTGCATAGCAACAATTGAAAAACCCACCTTTGTTTGTTTTAAAATACCTGAACAAATAGAACCATGTAGGCAGTAGTTTTTGGTGTACCTTTAAAAGAAAGCCCTTATTGCCTTGTTATTGGTTCTAAGTCAAACGCTTCTCCTCTGTTCTGCAACAGGCTGACGATTAGCGCCGAGTGTCCCATGAAGCTCGTGGACTTCCCCATGGATGCACATGCATGCCCCCTCAAGTTTGGCAGCTGTAAGTTCTTTATGTGTGAGTTGGTGACATCAGCATCAGAAAACTTTATTGACACACAGTTTGCACAGTTGCTTTGTTACAACTGCAACATATATAGTTTATAAAAGGGGGAAATTAAGTGGAAGTAATAGTAACAATATGACATATAAAAAAAGCATTTTTCAAACATAAACTTATTGAAAACATGCAAAAATATGCAAACAGATGAACAACACTTACAACACCAGGAGTTTAGTGTAGAGTACTAATGTAGATAGATTAGATGAAACTTTATTAATCCCTCGGGTGGGTTCCTCCGGGAAATTCGGTATATGTACAAAGTCAGTATTTTATCCATCCATCCAATAGGATTTATTATTAATATTAATGGTATTATTTAAATATAAACTAAATGGACAGAAGCTGAGATGAGGAGAAAGACATGATGATTTATTTTCTTTTTATATAGCTACATCATGACAGGAAATAAACGGTACCATTTTAGTGAGCCTCCTTTCAATGTTCTGGCTGTGCTACAAGAGAGAAAACAGGAAGAGGCTGCTGATTAGGTCTGACAGGACAAAGTGATCCAAACATGCATGTAAGATTACTGTTAACCTCTAATATTCCTGCAGTGCCTTTGAATGAGGAAAAGGACTCAAAGTTTTAAAAAATCTATCATTTTATCAGAATGTGAATTCTGTTCGTCCTCAATGTTTTGTCAAATGATTTTATTAATAAGTCATTATCACAGTGAAAATTTGTACCTGAGTAATAACATAACATAACAGCATTGTAGCATTGTAAGTCTGTTAGTTTGGGAAGACGCGAGTAATGTAAGTATAATTTTTAAAATTAAATACAACAATTAGTGATTTGTAAACACAATCAATATCCAGTCATTGTGTATTCTCACTCTGTTGCATGTTTGAGAGTCTAACATAAAAATAAACAAAACGCTGCCTGAGCAACTCGACACAGAGTAACTCAGTGTGACAGAGAGTGTAGAAAATCTTAGTTAAGATTTTTAATCTAAAGCTGAAATCCTGGAATTTCACCAGCACTCCCACTTAGGACTTTGCAATACCAAAGAACAGCTGCACACTATGGCAGATGTACACAAAAGAAAAAGCACTCTGAAATGATCATTTCTAAATGGAAAGTGAACCATCAAAATACTTCCAGTTAATTAAAAAATAATCAGTTTCATCACCTCAAAAATGAAGAAAATGTCACAGCAATGTAAAATACTGGAGTAAGTCAATTCAGTTAAATTAATTTTTGAGCTAAACATACAAGAGTACAGTAGAAGTGTAAGCAAATAACCCACTTCTGGTTCTTTACTTCTTGTAACTCAGATAAACTTGCACATTAAAACAGGTGGCAGTGTAATGAGCGTGTAATACGCAAAGATCTGATGTGAGTTACCTGGATGATTATTTTGTAAATCAGTTGTATTCCACTCTTACACAATTGAAGTGACTTTATTGAAAGGACAAAAAAAGCTGGATTCTAAGATGAATAGTGTGACAGCTGCTGTGTAGCAGTCGGTTAGGATAGCGTGACCACTTTATAAACAACCAAATAAGAGCGTTTAGACTGAATCTGAATCTAAACTAAGCAGAGTGGGTAAAAAAAGAGAAAACACCAGTGGAAGGCTAAGACAAAGAAAATATTGTCCTAGCTCAGTTCATGAAGCCACTTTCCTCCTCTTGGTACTGAAATGGATGCTGTGCTGAAAAGGAGCGCTAAAGAGCTGAGCAGAAAGCGACTAAATGCTATAGTTAATAATGAAACGTTTCATTCTTCATCGTGAACAATAAACGCCCAACTCAGCACCAGTGTTCACAGTGGGCCCACTGGTCAGCAGAAATGACTTATTTCAAATAAAGGAGCTTCTCAAAAAACGAGCAGCTGCGTCTTATCAGAGAGCAGCAGCGATTTGAAGATTACATCTGCAAGAGAAAGGAGAGGAAAAAAGACAACGAGTTTGCCTCTACACCCGCTGTCAATTACCCAATCTGGTGACATTGCGGAGGACAAATTCACATTCCTCGGTTATTGTCATCCCCCCTCCTCCCGTCCTTTCACCATCCTGTGCTGCTGCTGCTAGCCTCCAGTCAGGAGGAAGCAACCATGGATCTGATGTGGCCTGAAGCGAGGGAAAGGTCAGAATCCCTTCCTCTGCCTCAGGATAGCGCAGACCTATGCAGCTATTTTCCATAGCCGGTGCATGTGTCGATGTGTGCCTGCGTGCTAATTTTCTCGCTGTCTGCCCTGCCTTCATTTTTCCTCCATCTCTCCCCCTCTCTCTCCTCTCACCGTCTCCTTTTTCTGTTTCTCCATCTGGACTTGTGTGCACAGGCACTGCGTTCCACTCCATGACACACCAGAGTCATTTCATTTTGGCAGCACAGTTGGTATCCTGCCGATACGGAGTCCCATAGGGAGTGGCAGGCCAAGACAACTGGCATTTTGTTTTGCATTCGCACTCTGGTCAACCTCGCCAGTGAGAATACAGAATACAGAAAAAAAAACGCACAAAAAACAAAATAAAACAGAGAGGAAGCAACAACGGGGAATAAACAAACTTGTAATATAATGTGTGACTGTTACAACTTTAATTAGACACAAAGTGGCAGCTTGAGTCTTTACTAATTGGACAGTTTTACTGTTATCATATATTTTTACTTTCATTTGTTCTGATGTCATGGTGTGGTCCACAATTACCAAAATAGATTGTAAAACCTGCACTGGAATCATTTTCTTTATGCAGATTAGTGAATTATTCATGCTTGAGTGGAGGTGAGATGATGAGTCAATCTGGTAGAACCAATAAAAAAATTATTCGTGAAAAGTTTTTGGTGGAGACTTCTTGTCTGTTTTTGTTGTGATTCACTTAGAGGGGACTGTCTACATTTTTACACCTATAAAACCTGTTTGAAACAAAAAGATATGTTTTTGACAAACTTTACATTTTCATATGTAAATTTGAGCTGGCACACTGAACTTCTCTGAGACTAAATAAATCGAGCATAACATTCAGCCACTAAAATGTTTTTCTGTTCAGAAATACAAGCAAATAATTGCAAAAATACATTTTTTCTGCTTTTTTGTAAAACAGTACATACAAAACATAAAAATTTACTTTGGTAATTACCAATTTACTACTGTTACTGTAGCGCAGATGAGGCATAAACCTCACACAGGATGGTGATCTAATACGCTGCATATTTTAGTTGCATTTTACTCAAAATGATTGTCTCATGTTTATTAAGGGTGAAGAAACATATTTTGAGTGTAACAGGGACATTTGAGGCCCCACCCAACTGCTCTTTTCTGTTTTGAGCGGGGCAACCAATCAGCCAATCAGTTCCTCCAAATTTTCATTTCAGACACAGGATGAACTGAGGGGCAGCACTAAGGCCCAGTGTAAGACAAATAGGGATTGATTTTAATTATGAGTCATGCAAAGCTACTCTAGTAGAATCTAATAATAAGAATATCAACTTTATTAACAGGAACCTTTAAAGACCTCAAATGTAGGAATATTGGACACGACTTAATTAATTGAATTATCTATAACATATCCTACTTAAAGCAAAAAAAAAAAAATTATTATATTAATCAATTATTAGTTTATTATAATATATTTAAGCATTAACATTAACGTTGATCTTTTTTTGTGTGTGTGTTTGTTTGCTTTTTGTGTTGCTTCATGGGTGGACATGCAAATCAATTTCCCATTGGGGACAATAAAGTTACCGTTGAACCTTTATCAACAGACAAAGCAACAACTGTAGAGATAAAGGTTATTATCAATTTGAGTTAGTTGTCTTTTCTTTAAATTTAGGCAATAAAATAAAGGCAATATAATACATGCTGCATATAAAATATATTAATTCAACTTAGTTTCACTACACCAACCCACCAAGGAAGTAGAGCTTGTCTTTTAATGGGAAGGTTGGTTCACTTCCCAGTTCTTCCAGTAAGCATACTGATGTGCTTTTGAGCAAGATAACAAACTCCCAACCTGCCCAAGCATCTTTCAGAATAAAAGGCTTGGAATAAAAACGCTCTGAGTAAAAAAGTGCTACATACAGTTAGATCCACAGGTTTGTGGATAATGACACAATAATAATTTTGCCTCTGTACATCAACACAGTGGAATTAAAAGCTGAAAGTCTGCAACAAATTCATCTTGGATTTTTGAGTTCAAGTTCAAACAAAATAACTGGATTCATTACTTTGGAATGATGGCCATTTTTATACATAATCCCTCCAAAAACGTATGAACCTAACCGTAAGCAGCCACGTCACCAGGAAAATGAAGTCCGGGTAAAAGCTGGCTAGTAAATGAAAACTTGTGTTGTTGCACCGGCCCAATAAATGCAGAAGTTTAGCAGCAATTTCCACAACAGTTGACAACAGACAAAATAACTAATGTGTAGCTCGTTCCTAATGGTTTCTGGTTTAATGCACTTTTACATAACAATATGCAGAATTTGTTCCAGGAATAGCAACCCCATTATCTGAGAAGCAAAAGCAGAAGTGCTAGAGGATGTAGCATTTATCACATATACAAACAGTGTGAAGAATGGCAATCCAAAGGAAAACAGGAGAAAAGTGGTAAAGGGGAAAAGGTGCTATTAACAGCTGGTTGGTGACAAGAAGAAATCTACAGTGATGATAATGTTTCAATTATATCAAAGTAAAATCCTGCACACATATGGACAGTTTACAGTATACAAAGAGCTGCTTTCTTCTGAGCATCTTGTTTTTCTGCTGCACTGCTCACAGCTTACAGTCAGTGACTCATGTCGGTGTGGCTTTGCTGTCTGCCCACAGATGCCTATCCTAAAACGGAGATGATCTATACTTGGACCAAAGGGCCTGAGCATTCAGTGGAGGTCCCTCCAGAGTCCTCCAGCCTCGTTCAGTATGATCTCATTGGCCAGACGGTCTCCAGTGAAACGATTAAATCCATCACAGGTGAGATTTGCTCATCCTTTCACCGTCCTGCTTTATCAACCGAGTTACAGTGAACGCTCGAGGAATAATGGGACACTGCTGTTCATTTATCACTTTTACAAAAGAGTCTGCTTTTTTATGAAAAGAAAAGATCCACATCTGTCTGAGTGCATTATATTGAATCATACTTGGAAGATTTGCCAAGTCTACACTGTGTTTCCACAAGACAGATTTGGGCGTCGCATATTGGGGGGATATAGAGTTTTGACACTTGCACAGACATGACAGTGGGTCTACTGGACCATGGCTAGCACACAGTCTTGTGAAATGAAACCCTCAAACATCATGCGTTGAGACATTTCAGAGCCAGTTGGCTCGCAAAAATACTGAAAGCCCCACACACCACACCAAAAAAAAAAGATTTTAGCAGCAGAAAGCTACAGCAGAGTGCAAATGGACACAATGTAGAAGTGAGGGGAGAAAACCAGATCAAATGTGACATCTGTCTGGAGCTGCATTAATGAAATCTGTCAGCCTGCAACTTCAAATTCTTTGTTAATGAAACTAATTCATTTCTGTTGATCCCCCAGGTGAATATGTGGTCATGACGGTCTACTTCCACTTGAAACGTAAAATGGGCTACTTCATGATTCAGACGTATATCCCCTGCATAATGACAGTAATCCTCTCCCAAGTGTCCTTCTGGATAAATAAAGAATCAGTCCCAGCGCGCACAGTTTTCGGTATGTAGACTTCACACAGCATTCATGCTGCACTGCCTTTCTGCTCCTCTCGCTCTCTGTTTATTTGGTGCCTGCATGCCAATGGAGCAATCAGAGCTGGAGTATCTATTCAGTCAACACAACAAGGCGATGCTTCAGCACGCGGTGATTACGGGAAACAAAAAGTTTCCCATTCTATTTTATTTTCACCTCTTACAGTAATTCTCTAAAATATGTTTGGCTCAAAAAGCATTTACAAGCAGTAATACTGCACGTGTGGTTGAAATAAACATTTTTAATCAGATGGGGAAAGATGTCCTCCTTATTGTAGTTGCTAATGACAAGCTTTATTTTGGCCATAAATAACTTACTTCAAATACAAAACTAAACTGGAAACAAACCAGGACCAGTAACTAGGAAATGGCTGAAAACACAGAGGAAAACACACCAGGGAGTAACGAGGGAATGGAAAACAGGAAGAAAGCACAGCTGGGGCTAATCTGAGGCCCTTTCTCAATTCTCAAGTACGCGAGTACGTACTCGCGTTCTCGGCAAAATGCAGATTTAACTGCAGAATTACACACAGCAACCTTGCTTTTATATAGGAACATAACCAAAATACAACCAGCTGAGTTGATGGACTGATGGACACAGACCGACTCAGACTGACTGAAAAAGTTGTCAATCTGCGTTTATGCGTTGGACAGAAATTATTTGCAAATGTTTGAGTCCAAGGGGGACTTTAATTTTGTGGAGACAGGTTGCCTTCCAACAACTACCCGTGCAATCACATTGTGACCAAAAGTGGTCTTCCACAGATTGAGTGTACTACTTGCAAAAAATGCCATGCAGTCACCGGGTAACCATGAATTTTTCCTAGATGCCGTCCAGTTTTGTCTCTAGTGTGACTAAGTCCTTTACACTCTGTGGGATTTCCAATGAGCTTTTCTTGTCTTAAGCTCTCTTTTTCAGTGCTGTGAGCTTTAATCTGATTTCCTATTGTGAGTCATGGGTCGGCCATTTGTTTGTTTGTTTGTATTTGTTCTGTGTTGTCTAAGGTCATATGGCTTGTTGATGAATTTCACAGTCAGCGCTAAGACTACCGGCCCTGTTAGCGGTCACGTTAAAAACCTCCACTGTCAAACTCGACATGATCAACAAACTTCTGTTATCTTTTCATTTGTTCTGTAACTTAATTTATAGCTAATTTTATTTGCTTACAGTCAGCAAAATAAGAAACTCCTTCTGAATTCATAATTTAAACGGTTTGTAAAGAAGTGAACAGTCTATTATTTAAATTTGATTAAAAAAAATAAAAATAAAATAAAGTGCAGCCTTACCTAATGTCCATCCGACTGTTACTCATTTTATATTAAGATTTAAAAATCTAGTCGGTATTGGTATGAAGAGTAACCTTCAATAATGGTAATAAATCACACAGCAATAGGACATTCATGTAGTTGTAAAAAGCATGATAATATATTAAGTAATCCAAAGTATTCAGAATACGTTACTCTCATTGAGTAACTTACCTGTATACGTTACAAAATACATTTTGGGGCATGTAATCTGTAATCTGTAGTGGAATACATTTGAAAAGTAACCTTCCCAACAGTGAACATGACACATAAACCAGGGGACATGGATAACTAACTAATACAAACTAATAATAATACTAGGACTTAGTGTTATCTCCTAAATAATACAACCCTTAACTTGACAATAGCACATGATATTAACATAAGAAATCAACAATTCAAACATAACCCAAAATCCCCCTGACAAAAATAAAATTACTTCTCCTCAGTCTCCTAAATTCAGTGCATCCCTTAGAAGGAAAATAAGAAACATAAATAAAAAGAATTGTACCAAAACATAACACAAAATGAAATTGACAGGGGAGTGCTTTCAGTTTTGCAGTGTGCTGCATTTCTGTTAATTAAAACGTCTTTGCAGGCGACACTGCATTTCTTCAATTGGCCTAAGTACATCTAAAAGCAAACAAATAAAATAAAGGCCATACTAAATTCATTGTTGATGTAAATAAAACTCAAAGTAAAGTACCTGACCTATCTACCCCTGCTTTGTGTACTGCACATGTTTTGTCACTTAGTTGGGGAGGGAATAACATCTTTTTCCAGTATGTTGACCATTTTTCTGAAGCCTTCTAGGGTCCAGCTCTTTGCCTTCTTTTGTGGCAGACATTTGAATTTTGTTGCATAATCTGTCTTTGAATACAGTGGTACTCCTCCAGACAGAAAACAAGCAGTGCAGTGCAGGGAACAGCTGTGATTGGCACATGCAGACTTGAGGTGAGGCGCTGATGTAGGGACCACTCGATTTACTTTTGCTTTCCATTTTCAGTATCGCTCAGTAACTGTGGGAAGCCAAAATCGTGATTGAGATTAAACTCTGATTAATTGTGCAGTCCTAATCCTTAAATACTTGCCAATGAAACTTTCGTTCGATAATATACTTGATCCAAATTCTTGCTGGTCAAAAGGGGATTAAATACGTTTCTCCCTCACTAAAACTTGGATGGGTTGAGAACGACTCTGTGTCCCCCAGATGAGTTGGAAGAGGTGGCCATGGCGAGTCTGCTTTGACTGCTGCCCCCGCGACCTGAACTCAGATAAGCAGAAGAAAATGGATGGACAATCCCAGATCACGTTCTGCCTGTAGTACAGTCATTAAAATATTGCATTTTCACACCAGAGCTACTCTATCATTAAAGTGCTCTAAAGCAGGGGTGCCCAATCCCAGCCCTCGAGAGCTACCGTCCTGCAGCTTTTAGATGCATCCCTACTCCAACACAGCTGAATAAAATGGTTTGATTACCTCTTCAGCATGCCATCAAGTTTGGCAAAGGCCTGATAACAAGCCATTCATTTGATTCAGGTTTGTTGGAACAAGGATGCATCTAAAAGCTGCAGGACGGTAGCTCTCGAGGGCTGGGATTGGGCACCCCTGCTCCAAAGTGTTGAAGAAAAAAGTCTTTAACAAGTTATATTTTCAGTCAGTGAGTGCATCTTTTGTATCTGTTACTCCGCCCCCCCCCCTGTAATATGCAAAACTGCACTGGTTAAAACAAACGGAATCAATGTGATCATAGAGCTTTTTGTTGGTTACAGTAAGGTAGTCACAGGTCAGCCATCAAGCAAACCAGTTACTTTATTGATCACTATATTTGATTTATGAATATGAATTGAGATTACACCCAAATATATAGTGTATATAGTATATGTTTGAGTAAATTATAAATAATTAGTTTGCTACCCATACTAATATCTTGCTGTAACAGTAAAAATGAGCAGATGTTCGTCAGACTTCACAGAACTGCTACAGTTCTTGCTAAAATGAAGGTGCATTGATCAAAAGCCAGACCCAATGGAAGGGAAAGTTGGATGAAATTAGCACAAAATCCATCTGTCTTCCTAAAAGCGAAGTGGGCGAGATGAACATTACAAACAATAGCCTCCCTGCATGCTGGCTGCTCATAGATGTGCTGCAAAACCTGCTTTCAGTTTTTAGCCTGTAACCCAGTTGCGTGCTATCCATACTCCCTTGCTACACTGTTTGGGTTTGCCCTAGAATAGACTAATTAGTGTGTGACAATAGACATGTTGTCTATTGAATGATAGTGGCACTGATGCTTGCCGCTGTTTGAAAGTATTCCTGCATTGCTTTTAAGAGAATTAGCATTAACTCATCACCATGACTAATGACAAGCTAACTAAGAGAAAAACAAACAAGTGTCAGTGGTGATTAATGATTCTGATTTAATATGCTGACCGTTCATGATGCTGCACAGACGTCTGCATAAAACCACACGTGGGTTTATACAGTAGTACTGACCCCATGTATGAAATCCACACATCTCCTCTATTGACTGGCATTTTGTTAGCTAGCACTCTGTCAAATCATCATAACATACTCAGACACCAACACAACCAACAACCCACCCCACCATTTGGTTTTAATAAAGGTGTCACGCACACTGCAACATCACCTCTAAGCATTCATTTGGTATAGTGAATGCTTTTGCCGTCAGCTGTTGAGTTGCTTAGTGAAAAATGATGCTGTGTGGCTCTCTCTCTCTGAGTGTCGCTCAGTGTAATATAGCACGAGCGAATCACTGCTGCTCTTCTTCAGCGGACAATGTATCTGACAGTCCTGCTGCTCTACCCCTGCCTCCCCCGCCCCAAACTGTCCGGCATGACAGAGGCATCACAGCAGCCCGACTATTGACGCATGAGTCGAGCCTTTGAGACAGTGGAGTTCTGCTGTTATCCGCTGCTTTTCAGCCGGCGCGTGTGTGACTGTTTGGGTTGGAAGGTGGTCTGTGTTTGGATTTCTCCTCTTCTTCCCTACAGCCTCTGTTTTGACTTCCTGCCTCTATGACTCCACTGCAGTGACCTGTTTTAAGCCTAAAAGAAGCGGTTTGTCAAGAAGACAAACAGGAGTGGAGTGAGGATTAGAGCTCAAGCTTCATGGTTTCAAATAGAGTCAAGATAAAAAGTACACTTAAAGTAAAACGAGTGTTTCTTAAAGCCTCAAATTATAACTTTCTAGACTTTTGACATTTAACAACTCCAGTGATTGTCTCAAATCAGAGTTTATGGCCAGTAATCGTTCTGGAAGTCCCAAAGTGTAATTGTCCTTTGGTCTATGAAGAGGCACACATTTATGATCCTACAGTACATCTTCTCTGTGAAAGTGAAGACAAAGGACCATGAGTTTCGATTAAGAGGTTACTCTTGTGACATCAGGCGCATGTTTCCTTAGACACAATAACTGGTCACGAGAGAAAACTATGCGTTCCTCGACGAGTTGGAGAGTCGTGCCATGAGGTTGGTGGCTGCTTCTGGGAGAAACTAATTGCAAAGAAGGTGCTACACCAAAAACTACCCTGTGATTGTGTTGATTGCAAGAGTAGAAGACCCAAGTGCAGACAGAGGCGAGGAGACAAAAGTGGACTTAACGAAAAGCGAGCCTTTATTTAGGGCTGAAACTCACGAAAA